CTTATTATTATGGCCATGCAACAGGTTTTAGAGGTTTCCATGATTGATAGATTACTATAGCTAGCACTGTGAGGTTGCAATTAACTCTTTCACTTCACCTTACAGCTTACGTTTAAACTAGCAGTGTATTTCCCAACTAGTTGACCTGACACAACACAACCCAGCCCCATTGAATCAATTAGGTCCTGGTGCGAATGCCGTACATGTGCCCCTTTTGCAACTTTCCCACTTCTCGCCACAACATTTAACTAATAAACAGCACCCCTCCTCCCCCAATCCATAGTACTACTATAGTTTCATACTTATTACATGCACAATGCCTATAGATGGCTAAGAACCATTCTTTCTTATAGACTCCTGGATACAATACCGTGAGATGAAAAGAAGTGACTCCCATCCATTAGGTTTTTTTCAGGCTAAGATTCTAATGTGAATCCTACAATACAATACGGTCTGGGAAGCCAAAAAGTAGAACATTCTTCCGTTTTTATTCCCTCTATCTTTCCTTTAGACTATGCCCCGCTCATTGTAACGAGTCGCCGAATCTGTTCGATAATACCCAAATATCCGAGAATCGCTCCGCATGGATACTGGAAGGAAATTTTCTTCGCTACAGATAAGGATGCCCCCCCCTCGAATTTTACGACTTACGTCAAGAGAAACTTCTGGAGCGAATTCTGCTTTCTGACTAAAGATCAGTTGAGGCTCATGGGGACCCTCCATAGGCTGGCTTCTAGATGCCGCTCTGCTCGCATGCATCCATTCCTTTTCAAGAATTTACGGTCGTTGAGAGTTTTCTTCAATATTTGTCAAGCCTTTACTACTTTGCTACAATCGCTTGTTGAGGATGATCACTCTCTGTCAAAGACATTCAAACATCACATGGATTACAAACAAATTCACGCACTGTCTGGTAACTCTGGATCAAAAATAGCACGAGCTTTCGGCCTCTTGAGCCGCTCATCGCTACTCTTTTGGTATGCCTCGTGGTATGACTACCTCTTGTAAAACAAAGAACCCTGAGAGTGGATGTGCTACTCATGAAAAGAAATACAGGGTTCATTCATTAACGTAGCATTCCTTCATCCTGTCATTTAATCGCAGAAGGTTAGCCAACCGAAGGAGATCCCCTTGACATATTGAATATGCGTTGGGCTTTGCAGAGAGTTGATTTTCTTGGCCGATCTTCAAAAAGCATATTTGTCTCAACGGCACCAGCCGTATCAATCAACGAATGATTTCAGCTGGAATGGGCAATTCAACGGATCAATTTCCTCTCCGGAGCTACCAATACGGGCCAAGCGCTGAAATTGGCGCTTGATCGGGGATTTGACGGTGCGCGAGGAGGAGATATCCCCAAAGTGGCAGTGGTTGTAACGGATGGACAAAGTCAGGTGAGATTTACTACATGCATTTTACCGATTATTACCCGTTCAGTTCTCCACTGTCATATTCGAAAGCAGGTAAAAATACGCAAAAAGCCATAAACCCAAACAGCTTTCCACTGACCTACTAATGCTCGCACAGGAATAGCCTGTACTCGGTGAAAACTGATTCTCGAAACATCCCATTTACGGCGAATGCACAGTCATTGATTCCGCGAAACATTGAAATTGAAGAGAGAGTCATTGGAACGGGAAAGGTAAGACCAGTTGTCAACGAAAAGTAGGCCTCGGTCGGAACCGGTCTCATTTAGAAGGAGAAGCCCATGTTTTTTTGTTTTTCTTTCCTTACCTCTTTCCCTTGGTAAGCTTTTTCTATAGATTAATAAGATGATTTCTTCCCATCACCAGGCGAAGTCTGCCAACTTACCATGGGCTTGAATTGAAAACCTAGGTAGACATTATAGAGTCTTATAAGCATTATTTACGAAAAATTTATTAAAGCCCCAAAACTGCAACCTTGCCATTTTTACAACAACTTATGAACAGGTAAAATTGGTAATAGTGCGGCAGGGTGGGGACTTGGTGGTGAGCTGTGAAGCGAACGTCGAACTTTACCACTGAACCACCACGACTCGATTTGACGTATGCGATTCCTCGCTTATGCTTCACAGCTCACCACCAAGCCTCCACCCTACTGCACCATTACAAACTTTACCTGCTCATAAGTTGCTTGTGAAATGCAGGTTGCAGTTTTGCTATCTATATTTGTAAATAACCTTATAGACTCTATCAATCTACCGAGGTCTCCACTCAAAGCTCCATGTTAATTTGGCGGACATCTCTGACTGGGGTTCTTTCATACCCCTATTTCTTTCTGCCCCACACTATTTCTGTGTCCTTCTTTCATGTACAGTCTATAACATCGCATTCAGACGGCGGCAGGGGCATCTACCCAGGTCTCCATTCAAAGTTCCATGGTAAGTTGGTAGACTCCCCTGGTTAGTCAGTTACGATTTTAAGCTGAAAGATTTGCGTTTCAAACTTTGTTCTACCTAAATCCTTTTTAGTGGTCTTTCTCAAAATATAGTATACCCACACCATGCTCCATTCCCTAAGACACGACCCTTTCTAGACATATTTATGCCTTTTTCGCGAAAACAATCAGAAGAGTCTTGAAAGAGGATTTTTCACGCGGACCGTCAGCGTCCTTCTATTAGAAAGGCACCACACAGCGTACAAGCTCAGGAACGAGCACGGCCCATCCTGCAAATTGCCAGTCGGCCACGATGATTTTGGTACTCACGCGCGCCTTTGCCGACGGGGGGGGCGGCATTCTTGCCACTTTACTGCTTCACTTCACTTTTGATTTACGTCTCCACGGGTTGAAACCTGTGAACTCTTGTAAAGCTAGAGCAAGCTCGTCAAACCATCATGCTAAAACTTGTCAACTCGAGAAGAGGCTGTCTGGATGGGTACACGTCGATGGGAAGTTGTTAAAGTGCAAAATGCCCCCCCCGTCGCCAAACAGCGCCAGGTACTCATTCTAAAACGCTGACAGGTCAGACGTGCTTAAGCGGGAAAAAAGGCTGTTTTTTGAAAAAAAAGAATGGAACGGCAAGACCCGTTTGTATAAAGCCTTTGTTCTAATTGACTCAAAAAAAAACTTCCGACGGGTGTCTCCGCGCGGCATGCTTGAGGCCCAGGCCGACCGCTAGCTGTTAGCGTTAGGGCGTTGCTTAGTGCGCAATTCGAGTTCCGCAGCATCGTGCGTCCTGCAGTGCATTTGGAGCGTGCTGAAAAAGGAGTGCCAAACTGTGTAGTGAGGCGCATATCGCACTCCCTCCACCCGTTTGCCCAGACTCTCTCCCCCCCCCCCCCCATATCACTAGCGAAACTGCGCCGGTCGATTTCACGAGTGTGATGTTCTCGACCTATAGCATGGAGCGTTTTCTCGGAATGTAGCGCGTCCTGCGGTCATCGCGAAGTCTGAACGCTGCTAGCGTTTGCTACGATTAAAATAATGCTAAGAGGACCAGATTATTAAAGCGCTTTCAAGCGAGGCAGTTCGCAGCGACCGTCTTTCAGTCCACTTTCTTTTTCAGGACGAAGTTTCCGAGCAGGCTCAGCTGCTACGAGACGCTCACATCATGGTGTATGCCATCGGTGTTACCAATCTTGTCAACGTGCATCAGCTTCACCAGGTAACATCTAGGAAGGCCTCATATTGCTTCACATTGCTTTCTTGCTCTCTGATCGCTGTTGGTAGATAACGCTACAGGGGGTGGGCTCACTCTGCACCTCCTGACACCGCCACCACTACTTGATATCTAGTGTATGTATATTTCCAAATGCGATCAAGACAAATGGACAAAGTTTCGGCCCTATGACCGGATTTTTGATGAAGTGTCAAACTAAGGGTTATATTAGGGCACCATGGTTTGGAATAACGGCACAATCCATCTCCCTTATTACTAGTTTCTGTGAATGTCTATGGGTGATTATGTGATTGTCTTGAGCACAGCATATTTCATATTTGAATTTCCGATCACTGGTAATCCTGTGAGAGTTTTCACAGTGGAATCCTTTGAACAACTCGACAAGTCGCTTGCCGATTCGCTAACTTGGGACATGTGCAAAACCGAATTCAGTAAGTTGTTCTCTCTTTCTTTCGAGCTAGATTTCTCGAGTCATTTTGAAGCATATGAAGTACGTCGTAAACTGATAGCTACTCTTCCTGAGAAGCTTGGCCTGTAGGGCATGAGAAGGAAAAAAACATTTTCGAGACTAATGTTAATTTCTTCTGCCTTACGAGGTTGTTAGGTGGAACATTTATTAATTAGGCCTAACGTTTCGACTGGTTCGTCGTCTTCAGAGGCCAACGTTCCACCGTTTGCGCGGAGAAAGTCCGCTGCCACACGAGAGCGTTAGTTGGACGTCCAACTTCCACCTTACGACCTCGTAAGGCAGGCTTACAACTAACATGCCGAGGTTACAAG